TCTATTAGCAAAAAAATGTTCAAGTCTTCCAATCTCAAACTCTTCAAAAATTCTTCTTCCATTCTCCGTTCTTCATCATCGTCATCACCAATTATTAATAATAATAATATTAATAATTTTAAAAAATATTCAACAACAGCAACAACAATGGAATGGATTCCAGTTTCTAAGGACGGTCAAGTCAAGAAGAGAATTATTACTCAAGGTTCAGGTGCTGAACTCCCACCACACGGATCAAAGGTCTCTGTTCACTACACTGGTACTTTGACTAATGGAAAGAAGTTTGATTCTTCTGTTGATAGAGGCACTCCATTCTCCTTCAACTTGGGTCTCGGACGTATGTAGTATTTATTATTGTGTTGTTTAACAGGCTAACTGTGTTTGTATTTGTATTATGATATTATACAAATATTATTATGATATTGGATTTTGTTGATTTATTATTGAATTCAATAATAACGTCGTTTGATTATAATATTTTACTGGCTTAACAACAATAGAGGTTATTAGAGGTTGGGATTTGGGCGTCAAGACCATGAAGAAGGGTGAAAAGGCTATTCTTGAAATTCCATCAGAGTACGCATATGGCTCTCAAGAAATTCCAAAGTTAATCCCTGCCAATTCTACTTTGATCTTTGAAGTTGAATTGTTGTCATGGAAGTAAATCTACGAAATTATTATTTTAATTAAATTATAAATTTTAATTAAATTAAAATCTATTCAATTTTTTACAATTCAACTCATCTATTGAAACTTTGACAATATTTTAATCTACAAAATTTGAACATGTTGAGATTTGAACAGAGCTCTGAATGAGATTTTCAATTCTCAATATTCTGAAAGATTTCTTTAGTATTGCTACAAAGATCTAGAATGAACATCACCAGGTCTAACAAGTTTAATACAGTTCCTGTTCACGAGCTGTATGTCTTATTATCGAGATAGTGAACATTACGATCCACAGTTCGTATCGTTCGTATCTTTGTATCGTTTGTACCATAGTACATGGTAAAAAGTCAACAGTATTTGAAGGATTTTAAAAAACGAAACCTTAAAAAAACAAACAATGAGTAGTCTTTCAAAGTTTTTAAAGGAACCAACCACTGTGTATGGTGGACTAAAGGCCAATGATTTAAAGCAAGAACCTCATTATTCTTTTTTTGATGGGGAGAACAAATTCCTTGTTCGTGAAATCGAATCTCAAAAATTAGTTCCCTTAAAAACGAAACTCTTGTTTGAGAAGGCAGGTAGTTATGAATTTTACACTGTAGAGCATGGATTCATTCCTGTTGAAATGGGTACGTAATTAATCAGTTGGTTTATTAATATTTGGAAAGATTGTAAGCAATTCAAAGTTTCAGATTTGTTACTATTAAACCTTGGTAAAAAGAAGAAGGTCTATGAACAAGAATATTATGGAGAAATTTATGATAAGAACGCAAGAATCATTGAAGAGAAACGTTTCTTTCAAGATGATCAAACAGAGCCTTACTTTGGAGGAAAGGTAGTTGTTGGTATTAAGTCATATTTCGGTAAAATGTTAAGAACAGATAATTCACACAAGAAGCTATTTACCTTTAACAATAAGCCATTGAAAGAAAAGAAAGAGTTGGTGAAAACTTCCTTGCCTATTGCATCTTTGAAGGAATCTGAACATTCCAAAATTGGTAAGATTTCAATACAATATTATCCATTAACAATCAAAGTTACAAGAATATTTCTACGAAATTTCCCTCTCCTTGAAACTTTTGAGATAAACGAAAGAAATAATTTGATTGAATATCTTCATCAAATGGTGGGCCTTTACATGGCAGATGGAAACTCACGAAAATTCCAAATATTCCTTAATGCAAAAAACGAAAAGGAATTGACGGATTTTCTTATTGAAAAGATGAAACTAATCTCTGGAGATTCATTTGGAATCAAGGAACAAATAATTTTTAGAGATTCCGTTCATAATTCTATTTCTTTTGCCAATCAAATTGATTTAACTGAGGATACAAAGCAAGATTTGGAAGAAGGTGGATTTTTCGAATCTAATTCTAACATTGTCGCATTGAAATCATTGTAAGTAATTTTGTTAACATTATTAATTTTGGAATTTTGTAAGTAATAATTTCAACAAGGTCTTACTAGAATTGGAAATTGTAAATGGAACCTCCAAAGTTTACTCCAATATATACAACGCCTCTAATTGGTGTCTTTCACATGTTTACAAGTTTTTCGAGGGTTCAATTCAGGGAGATGGTTGTTGTAGACCTAACAAGATGAACATCAGATTCACCCACAAATGTATTGTTTTAAGGTTCCAGATATCACATTCCCTAATGCTAATGGTCAACTCATTCAAAACACAAATCAAGACGTATTTGGAACAAGATACTTTTATGACACCAATAGATTTGTAATCAAAGAATTCAATTCATCCATTGACTGTTTCAATGATAGTGTTAAGGTATTGAAAACTATTCATCAAGCAGATGGTACAAATTTGGACAATAGTATTAACAAAACAATTAATACTTCACACAAATCCGTTTATGGCACTTCCATCATTCCTAAAAGAAAATTAGAAAAAGAATATGATTCCAATAAGACTAGGAAGTTTACTGAAGGAAAGATCCATGAATATTTAAGTAAATATACAGTCATTGAAAAGAAGAGCAGATATCATTGTGGTGAATGTGAT